TAATAATTATGATGATTGAGTACTCACTATGTGTCAAACACCGTTTTCTATGCTTTATCAAACTCAATCTTCCTTAAAACCCTGTGAAGTAGATCCTGTTATTAGCCCCATTTTACAGTTAAGAAAATCGACACCATAAAGAAAAATTATTTACCCAAACTCACAGATGAAGTCAGAATTTGAACCCAGAAAGCGTGACTCCATCGCTTATACAGCAAGCACTAGGCTGTATTATAGCCATGAGGTTATCCCCTACACCCACAGCATGCTTCCTGTCCCTTCTTAGAGCCCTCGAATGGACACTGAGGCGTATTCTGGTCAAGTCGTCCAGGCAAAAACTCAGCAAATCTGCCCTTGGCTGCAGGAAGGCCTGGAGCTGCCTGTAGAGCCCCACTGTTGCCCCTAGATGGCGCGGCGGTCGAGCATCATTTATGTTTTCAGTTACTGTTCTGTCATTATTCAAATTGAGGAAGAGGAGCGTTGGAGCCGGGGATGGCACGGCCAAGGGTAGGGACAGGTGGGGTGAGGGAGAGCAACAAAGGACCAGAATAGAAGCAGTAAGCCGCCCCTGGGGGAGGGGCGATCCGTCTCCTCCAGCCCCTGGTGTTGGAACGCAGGCAGTAAAAACAGCTTCCCTTGATCCGAGACTCCCTAGGTGCTTGGCATTTCTAAGCATTTGATACCCCTTAGCCCTTTTTACCCTCACAAGAACCTTATGAGATAAGCACTATTTTATGATTACAGGTGAGGGATTAGAGTCTAAGAATGTGACCCAGCAAGTCAGAGGTAGAGCTTGGACTTGAACCTGGGATGGAATCCCGAGTCCCTGCTCTCATCCACTCGGTTCTTCCTCCTTCCAACCGCCTTGGGGGGGGGGGGGGGAGGCAGGGCAGCGGAGGAGGGGAGGCGGAGCCACTACACCCTCGGACTCTGGGGCTTAAGTGATGGTCTCTGCTTCCCTCCCTAGAAGTTTAGGATCCCCAAAGGCAGACTTGGCTTGACGCGGATAGGAGACTTGTCTTTGGAAGACATGAAAAAGGTCCACNGGCCCCTCCTCAGGCCCAGTGGGTCCGCTTCCCCAGAAGAACCCCCTGCAAGCACGCCCTGCCGAATGCTCCCACTCCCGGCTGTCCTCGGCGGAGAGCTTGTCCATGGATGGCTTTTGGATGGAGGTGGAGCGGATCCAACAGAGGGATGAGCTGAAAGCTGAGGATGGCAGTGGGAGTGAAGGGCGGCTCCCAGAGGGTGAGGAGCTCTGGAGGGGGCTGCAGGGTGGTAGGGAGGCCCTCGTTCTAGGGGGAGACATGTGAGAGGTCCAGACACCAACCGGAACATGAAAGGGCTTTGTCTCTTGCTTGGACTGGTGCAGTATCCCCTTCACTGGTCTCCCTGCTCCACCCTTGCTCTCTGCTGTCTGTTCTCCACACAACAGTCAAAATAATTTAATAATGTAAGTTAGATTATGTGCCTCCTTAGATTGTCATTTGGCAGATATTTATAAGTGCCTATTTTTTTTTTTTAAGATTTTATTGAGGAATTGGGGAAGGGGAACAGCCAAGTTGTGGTCCTTCAATCTTAATTGTGGAGGGCGCAGCTCGCTCAGCTCCAAGTCCAGTCGCCATCCGGCCACCCATCGGCAGCTCTTAGCCGCTCAGCTCAAGGTGCCATGTTCAATCTTAGTTGCAGGGGGCACAGCCCACCGTCCCATGCAGGAGTCGAACTGGCAACCTGATTGTTAGGAGCATGTGCTCTCACCAGCTGAGCCATCCTTCCACCTGTTAGCAGCTTAGTGGCAGCTCAGCTCGGACACAGCTCACTGGCATATGTGGAAATCGAACCAGCAACCCTGGTGCTCAGAGCTCGCGCTCTAACCAACTGAGCCACTCGGCTGGCCCTATAAGTGCCTATTCTTTGCTAGGCACTGTTTTAGGCCCTGGAATACACCAGTGACCACAAAACAAAGTTTGTCACCCGGTGGAGCTACCATTCGAGTGGAATTCTGAGCTACAGGTAAAATTATACAGGCGGTAGGTGAACATCTGCAGTTCAGGAAACACTGGTGTTTTGGGGAAAGATACTGTACTGATGACTGCATGGTCAGCAGGAGGAAAAAAGGGTCCTGGCACCACAGCAAAATCTGTACCTTCACCAGCTCTACTATATGTGTGTCAAGTTAGAGGAGAACCCACAAAGTTGCAGCTGCCCTGGAAGCGTTTGCCTGATTCCCAGGTGCAGAGGCGACGTTGGAGAAAGACTTCCGCATCCGGCTTATCTGCACAATGCAGGATGCCATAAAAGCAGTTTTGATTTTTGAACCACCAGCAGCTGAATGACTAACCTGGTCAAACTCGGCACCACTAAATACACCCCACTAATCCAGTGCTCACACATGGGGACTACTTTCTCCCCAGCTGTCATCTGTTTTCCCCCATGATAAGGGAGGAACTCGCCAGGCCAGTGTTTCTCAAGTGTGATCTGAAGGCCCCATTGTATTAGAATCATCTCAGGGTAGTGGGGCGGGGGTGGGGTGGGGTGGGGACCCACATTCAGATTCCCAGGCCCTGAACCTGAACTCCTAGGGCAGAATCTCTGGAGGTGGGACCCAGGAGCCTGTAGTCTCAGCAGGTCCCCACGATTTGGATGAATTGTTTTGCTGTGGGACCGTGGCAGTTTCCTTACAAAGCACAGTTGAGGGGATGATTCCAACACAAATAAGGTCTTGAATAGAGTGGGACTTGCCAAGAGGACACCAACTTCGTGCCCACGTTCTCCACAGCTGGGCCCACGTGACCCTGTGGTGGTTTCTTCATATTTGGGAGGACAACTGAGTTCATTGCTATATTCTAGAATCAGTCCAGACGTGCTTCCGCAGCCTGCTGTTTCCAAAAGAATGTGGTGTTATAGGTTTAAATCCAGATGCTGGCTAGTGCCATCTGTAGCCCCCAAATCCTCAGATGTTTTGTTAGATCTTCTCCTCATTGAAGAGCGTTGTTGGTGTTAGTGGGTCTCATAGTCAGATCTGACAATTACAGTCGAGTATGTGGATATTCTTGCATCCATGTATGTGTTTCTGCACGTGCCTATGGTTCGTGCATGCGGCTGAGCATGTAGCTGTGTGTGTTCATCTTGGTGTTCTCCCCCTGTTGGCAGAAGGAGAAATTGAATCCCAGTGGCTACAGGACACAGGCCTATCAGGACTCCTTGGTGGCCTGGGCTTGGACAGTCATCACCAAGGGCTCCTGTCCACCCTTACGCAGACCCAGGTGGCTGCTGTGCGCCGCCGGCTGGAAATCTACACCCGTTCAGTCCGAAGACGCCACAAGGCGCCTGTCAGAGACGTCAGGGACATCTTTGGAGGCTTCAATTCAGGGGTAAGTAAGTGGCATGAGGGTCACTGTAGACGCTGTCTGCCTGGGCCTATTGTGATGTGTCACCACATCCTAAGTGATACAGTGATTCTGCTGCAGGGCTGTGTTGGTGTATGCTTGCATACGTGTTTCATGCTTGCATATGTGTTGCATGCCACTGTGTTGCATGCCACTGTGTTGCATGCCACTGTGTCCCCATGCTGTATGTACGTCTGCCTGCTGTGTATGCCAGTGTATATTTGTCTGTCACCACTGTGTCCTTGGGTAGGCCTGAAAGCTCAGGTTCTCTCTATACATAACTATTATGAGTACAATTACAATACTTTTTAAAAATTTTATGTTATTGGGGAGCAGTGTGTTTTTCCAGGACCCATTAGCTCCAAGTCAAGGAGTTGTTTCAATCTAGTTGTGGAGGGCGCAACTCAGCGGCCCATGTGGGGATCAAACTGGCAATGTTGGTGTTATGAGCACTGCGCTCTAACCACCTGAGCTAACCGGCCACCCCTATAATACATTTTATTGCCATTTGTATATCCTGCTGGCACTTGTAACCTGACAGGTTGTGGGCATTCGATTCTTTCTTGGAATAGATTTGAAGTGGGCGTAACACATGATTAACACGATGGGCATTGAAGACAGACAGATCTGGGTCCCAGTGCCTATCTCCCCCCTTAGCAGCCATGGCATCTTGGGCAAGATCTTTGAGCTTCAGCTGCTCTCGCTGGCTATGAAGAAGGGGTCGTGAATGGCTTCTATTTCCCAGGGTTGTGTGGGTATCATCTGCTTCCCACACAACTAATTGGGAATTATCTGTACTTTGCATAGGAGATGCCTTCAGAGAATGGGGACTCGGGTATGAAATGGACCCAGCTCAATTCCGGGACTCCTACGTCTCCTCCAGGTAAGTGGCCTTCATTCTCCAGGCTGCACAAAGGGACTGTTCTGTAAGGTGAACACCTCTGAGCAGTTTCCTCTTCCTGCTCATTCCTTGCCTTCCCCGCTTGAGGGCTGTAGAAAGGAACCCAAGGGGACAAATTGGACCCTTGAGTGGGGTTTACCCATTAGGCCCATGGGCCTCAGTCTGGAAAATCACTTCCCGGGGCAACGGGCCTGGGTCCTAAGCTTATTGATTTGATACTGGGACTTTGAGCTTGAGCCTGGGAAATCACTTCTTAGGGCAAAAGGCCTGAGTCCTTAGCCTAGGAACTTGCTTCCTGGGGTCATGGTCTCAGCCTCCCGATCTTGGGAAATTGCTACTGAGTTTACTGGGCTTGAGCAAGGGCACAAGCCTGAGAAATCGCTTCCTGGGTCCCTGGGCTTGGAGGAGATAGGGAGGCAGCCCGCCCTGACTGCCTCTCTGTTCCATTTCCCCAGCAGCAGCAAAGCCTGAGGGGCCGCAGGCGCAGGCTGGGCGGGAGGAAGTCTTCCACATGGACTCTGCCTACTCGGAACAAGCTGTGCTGCTCCTGCAGAGGGGCGGGCCGCCCCTGAGAGGCACCTGTGCCTGGAGCAAGGGCTCCCTGCCGGTGAGCATGCTGCCCAGAGGGCCGGTGGCCAGGCCCCCTGATTAACCATTACTCTCCACTGCTTAGGAAACTTGCCTTCACCCCGGCAGTAACCTCTAATCCAATATGAAAGTACGTTCATCCACTCGCAAATATAATTTTTTTTCTTTCGAAATAGTTTTAGAGTCACAAGAAGTTGCAAAAGTAGCACAGAGTTCCCATGTACTCTTCACCTAATTTGTCTCAGGGATCATATCTTAATGTACCCACCGTACATCAAATAAACTTTTAAAAAATGACTTTCTGTTGTTTAAGCACCAGGGNGCCTTTTTAGATTCCATCATACGGTATTTGTCTTTCTCTTTCTCATTCACTTAGCATAATGCTAAGGTCTAACCATATTGTCACAAATGACAGAATTTCCTTTTTTTATGGCTGAAAAATGTTCTGTTGTATATCTATAGACCACATTTTATAAATCAATTCATCCATGATGGACATTTAGGTTGTTTCTATGTCTTGGCTATTGTGAGTAATGCTGCAATGAACACAGAGGTATAGGTGTCTCCTCAAAATAGTCACTTCAGTTCCTTCAGATATATACCCAGAAATGGGATTCCTGGGTCATATGGTAATTCTATTTTTAATTTTTTGAGGAAACTCCATACTGTTTTTTGTAATGTCTGTACCAGTTTACAATCGCACCAACAACAGAAAAGGGTTCCCTTTTCGCCACAACCTTGCCAACACTTGTTATCTATTGTTGTTTTTTTTGATAATAGTCATTCTAACAGGTGTGAGGTGATAGCTCATTATGGTTTTATTTGCATTTTTCTGATGATTAGGATATGTGTGCTTTTTTTAAAGCAACAATGGCTGACTTTTTAAAAAGTCAAATTGGATAAAGAAGATGTGGTACATATATACAATGGAATACTACTCAGCCACAAGAAAAGATGAAATATTGCCATTTGCGACAACATGGATGGATCTTAAGAATATTACGCTAAAGGAAATAAATCAGATGGAAAAAAGTCAAGAACCATCATTTCATTTATTTGTGGGATATAAAACTGAAAACAACAAATGAATAAATAAAACAAACAAACAAACAAAAACTCATAAACACAGACAATAGTTTAGTGGTTACCAGAGCGTAAGGAGAGAAGGGGGTGGTAGACAAGAGTAAAGGGGGGTCAAATATATGGTGACCGAAGGAGATTTGACTTTGGGTGGTGAGCACACAATGCAATATATAGATGATATATTATAAAATATACACTTGAAACCTATTTAATTTTATTAACGAATGTCCCCAATAAATTACATAAAATTAGAAAAATAAAAAGCCAAATTGGGTCCTTCTCTTTTAATCAAACAGTTTAGACCATCTGTGTTTATTGTTTCCTTTGCCTTCTGTCTGTTTCCAGATGGAATAAGGAATTTGTTCTGTAATCTTGCCTGGCATCATTACTGAGTTCAAGCATCTGTAGAATTTTCAGAATACTTTTTTCCTATTTGAGGATATTGGGCATATATTTCCTCTCTCTAGTGACAGGCTGATGTATGATCTGTTTTGCCGATATGTCTCAGGGTCTATGTGGACCCCTGCTCCCAATCCACCATTTCTCAAGGGCAGCAGCATAGAAATTTTATCCCCAAGCTCATTTGAGGCACCAGAATATCATTTGTCTGGGCCAGGAGACCTGCACAGTCTTATTCCGGGATTATTTGCACAAAGTGGAGTGGCATAGTTTGTGCAGAACAGGAGATGCAGGGATTTGGGGCTCTGAGGGTAAACCACGTAGCTGTCAGCTAAACCAGGAGAGCTGGGACCGGGACCTGGAAAATCCAGCTGAGGTTGGTCCCGCCACCATCTCTCCATGGCTTCGACTTGTCTTAGGAGACTGACTGCTCCAGCCCCACCGTTTTCACATGGCTTCCCAATTCAGGGACCTGACACCGACCCCTTCAATCTCTTTGTTCAACATCTTGAGAGCACCTGATTGGCTCACTTGATGGATAGTACCTCTGTGATCTGGGGCGTCAGTCTGTTCAGATTTGGCTGAAGGAGAGGAGGAAACGAGGCGG